CGCGGGGCGTCCGTCTGACCCTCCGCCAGTACAGCGCCTCTGTCATGACGCATTGCCAGGGCATGTATAGAACTACGCTAACGTGGGTTTCTTCGTTTTACAGTGATCCCCCCTCTTCCTGCTCTGCTGGTCCTTCCGGAGATGACCTGGTATGGTTTCACCCCTCCGAACCCCTCGTTACACACGGTCGCATTGCCGCTTTCGCCGACTGCGGCGGGGCAGCCCAACGCAGATTTACCCTAGAACCCTCTATCAACGACATTCAATGCCTAGAAATGAATACTGACAATTAGTTTCTGCTGCACAGTTCCACTGGCAAGCAACTATCATGGGTCCTGTGAGTAATCCCGGATTTCTTTGGTGGTCGTCCGGATGCAGCAAGTGTCTTTGTTCCCTTGTTCAGGAGGACCTTGCGGCACCCAACGGCGTTTGATAGCAGGAATACTTTGCTAACGCGACTTCCAGGGTGACTCCCCCTACTCAGGAGGTGTTTTCTTCCTGAACATCCACTTCCCCACCGACTACCCATTCAAGCCCCCGAAGGTCAACTTCACCACCCGGATTTACCACCCCAACATCAACGCCAACGGCAGCATCTGTCTTGACATTCTCAGAGACCAGTGGAGTCCTGCTCTCACGATCTCCAAGGGTATGTTTCCTTCTGCCTGCAGAGCTATTGACGCATATACTAATCTGCTTCCAGTGCTCCTTTCGATCTGCTCTATGCTCACAGACCCCAACCCCGACGACCCGTTGGTGCCGGAAATCGCTCACGTGTACAAGACGGACCGTCCCCGGTACGAAGCGACCGCGCGGGAATGGACTCGCAAATATGCCATCTGATCTTCGCAATTCAAATTCCACGGCCACCTTGGTCTTCCCAATCCGCTTCTGCGTCTTCTTTCGCTCCGTTAGATCAGATCCGAAGCCTGGCGTACCGTGATCGTAGATCCTTTCCTTGTTATTCTCCGTGAACTATTTGCGTGTGTCTGGAATTCCGCGTTTACCCCCTTATTTTCGCTTTCTCCTTTTTATTTGCGGGGGAAATGTCATATCCAACGATCATTATGACCACTTCTCATTATGCATTCATGGCATTTTTTATTTTCACTCAATGGAGTCGGATAAATGTTACCTGATGAACATAAGACCCCAGGAAGGGTGTGGTTTTCGATATTTCCTCGGGTCGGGGTTGAGGGGAGGATGCTGGGTACTGGTACGGTCGTGAGGCTTTGTTGATGCCTCTGGGTGGTGGAAATGATAAGCAGGGGACGAGGAGAGGAGACGAGGGAAGTAGGGGTTGGTTAATTGGCGATGCTGCTGGTAAGGGATTTGGTGGCTTGTATTCTTTCAGTAGGAACCATTTCAGCAGGGACCAATTCACCAGTGGATCGTACTATGCAGTCATACGGAGTAGTCAATGTAGACGTAGTAGCCAGACTCAAACTGGCGGTGTAGGGATTCAGTCTCATTGTTTGCCTATACAAACATTCTAGACTTGATATATCATCTATAGTAGTCATGTTTATGCCTCAGGCTAACCAGGGATTAGCCATTCGCTCATCACTAGTGACTTTCCCCAACTTACCACATCATGTGTCTATATACACTACAGAATATATCAACACTAATGGCATCTCTACTAAGACCACCAAGAAACCATACCATCCATGGAAGAGTACCCTCATCATTAAGGAAATACACATCCCATCAATATCTCCCCAGAAACATCCCCATCGAGGAAGAAACCCTCCCACACTACAACCCCACGCACTACTACCCCGTCAACATAGGCGACATCTATCACTCCAGATACCAAATCACAGGGAAAGTCGGATACGGAGCCGATTCTACAAGCTGGGTGTGTCGGGATCTCCGGTGTGGCAGTACCCCTTCCTACCTTAATACTCAGTAGATAAGATCTCTGACAATCTCTATATCAATATCATTCCATATAATCAAGATCCAACAATGGAACGAGCAAATACACCGTCCTCAAAATCTCCACTTCCTCCCCAGAATCTCATAATCGCGAATACAAAGTCTATGAACATCTCGCCAAAGTAGTGGAAAGAGGATCTTTACATCCAGGCCAGTCCTTGATTCGCGAGGTGTATGATTCTTTTGAACTTCAGAACACTACTGAAGAAGAAGGAAAAGGAAAAAGGGGTATACATCAATGTCTAATCCTCCAGCCCATGACCATGTCCCTACTCGATATGATGAGGTTGAATTCTAAGCCTTTTGATCTCCCCTTGCTGAAAATGACAGTCAAACGAGTACTACTCGCGCTGGATTTCCTGCATGCTGAGGCGGGGGTTGTTCATACTGGTATTATTACTTATGTCTTCTATTCATTCTTTCTATAAACTAGGTAACTAATATATATATAAATGATATAGATATAAAAGCAGACAACATAATGCTCACCCTCCACGACCCCACCATCCTCACCTCTTTCGCGGACGCAGAATCATCATCCCCAAGTCCAAGGAAGATATCACTTACTGATGCATCACGTATAATCCACATAAGCCGTTAACTCCCCCATCTAAGAGAAGGTAAGAACTACGGCCTCCCTACTCTCTGCGACTTCAGCGAAGCGCGCATCGGCACCGTCCAGAAAGATTCAGGACCCTTCGTACAGCCGTGTATCTATCGTGCACCGGAAGTCATCTTCGAAATGCCGTGGGGGACGGCGGTGGATATTTGGGGTGTGGCGGGAGTTGTAGGGGTCCCTCTTTCTTTCTTTTTACTACTATTGAAGTTTGAGTGTGTATAGTTTCATGGCTGATAAATTCATAATTGTTAAGATATGGACCCTCTTTGAGGGCCAGCATCTCTTCGGAGATGATATATTCGATCCCATAACAGGCCACCACGATCCGTTCCGCCATCTAGCTCGCGTGGTAGCTGTAATTGGGGAGTTTCCGTCCCCGGAATTCGTACGCAGGAGTGAGACGACGAGACAGTGTTTTGATGAGGGGGGTTAGTATATACCTTCTCCTCATTAAATTGTAAAATATGCTGATATGGTTATGTTGTTGGTATAGGTAACTGGATCGCCCACGCGGAAGCACCCATACCTGATAATATCTCCCTGGAAACCCTGGAGAGACGCCTTACCGGGACGGAGAAAGAATTATTTCTGGATTTTATGAGGGCGATGTTGAAGTGGATGCCTGAGGAGAGGAGTACAGCGGGGGAGTTGTTGGGGCATGAGTTTTTGAGGTGATATGAAGTTTACACTTAGTTCTTGGATCGGTGGGTAGATCATATGGATGGATGTCTTGGTGGTTTTGGGTGTGTAATTGCTCTGTAGGGGCGGGGAGATGTTGAATGTGTTTTGGCTACTCACTAAATTTATGTGTGTTTATTATACGTAAAAGTTGCTTTCTGAGGAGGGGGGAGTTTGTATTGGCACGGAGGAATAGCAATAGTATATGTATTGAGAACAAGATTCGGGTTTAGCTTCAGTTACTAACGTCCTCTTGTCAATTTATGACGAGTGTGCCAGCACGTGCTTATTGAGTTAATTGAAGTCTAATGTGATCAAGTTCTTCTAGGATAGATCGATAACTGGCTAACTCCATGTACTTTATATATGCATTCTGCGCCTTAATGCAGACTGACTGTAACACCATTTCGCTAAAGCAACAACTAATGCCCATGCAGGAATAAAATGACAAATGCAGATGATTCAAACATTCTTATGCAGTACGTATAGTATAGTATATAATCGCAGATAAATACCAACGAAATATATCTGAAGAACACGACCAACCCATGAAATAACATGATAAATCAAACGCCTGGTTTCATGCTTCCCAAATGTCCAATATGTAAAAAGATGTAGTAGAGAAACAGATATGCCTCACATACAAGGTCTGTAATGCAAATATGATGGAGAAATTATCACAGCCATATGAATACTGTGCTGAAAGGAGAAAGGAAGAATGTTAAAATGTAGAATGGAGGAGGAAGCTAAGCCACCTGGCTGGCAGTTCGGCGACTGACTTTCGAGGCAGCCTTGGACGGAGCGACACTGCCGCCACCACCGCTACCACCGGCCTTCATGGTCCGCTGAGACGCTCTGGAGACGTTGGTAGAGACTTGGCTGACACTGTCGCTGGGCTTGACGGGCTCGTCGAACTTCGAGTGCTTGGACACCTTGGAAGGGCTCTTGGAAGCATGCGACCGGTGTGAGTAGGAGGACCGCCGGGAGTCGTCCACTTGACTGATCGAGTCGTCAGGGGTGACATGGCTCTGGACGTCGAGGTCGACAACACTCTCGGGAAGAGGAACTTCGCGAGCGGAGACGCCCGATTTGGCACCGCTGCGGTAGGAGGCGAAGGAGGCAATGGACCCCTCGGGGAGAGGGACCTGACGGGCAGTGCGGTTGGAAGAGGCGGTGCTGCCGGCTTGCGAACGGCTCACAGAATGGTAAGAAGAGTGGTGCGAGGAGTGATGAGAGCTATGGTGGGACTCTTGGTAGTTGGCCTTGGAGGGAGGTCGGACCGTGGAGGACGAATAGACACTGCCACCATCCATCGCCCGCGACTTCTCCTCACGGAAGCTGCTGACCAGGGTGCTCTGGTAGCCCCGGGAGTCGGCCGGCGGGGCGTACTCGATCGCCCGCAGGGGGATGTCCTTGGTGGTGTACACGCTGCCCTCAGAGGCCCGACGACCATTCTCATCGAGGTAGACGCTGCCGCCGCGCGGGACAAACTCTGTGCCCTCGTAGATGGTGTCTGCGCGAGGGTTCTTCGAGGTAACACTGCGGGTGAGGCCCGGGCGGGCATCGGACCGAGAAGAATAAACGCTCCGCGGAGGAGGAGCCTCGATAGCCTTGTAGCCAGGGTATTCGTCCTGGGCCTGAGAGGGTGCTTGGGACGGGGAGAGCATCTGAACAATGTCCCGGGGCGAATACTGCGGGGGAGGGGTACTGCCATCAGAGTGTTGTTCGGTAGAGTCGGACTTGGTCATGGCATATGCGAGTGCAGCACCGGCAGCGGCGCCAATCAGGGTACCGACAATCGTTTTGGCGGTCTTGCCATCGTCTGTCTTCTGCTGAGTGGTGTGGTGAGTCGTGTGGTGGACAATATACGTGGGCGATGGGGCCGGTTGAATGTCGCGCGGCTGCTGAGATTCACGGCTAACGCTGATGGTGGACGGCGCGCGCTCGTACGGGGGAGGCGCTCTGTCCACGGCCGTCGAGGACCTGGAAACATACGACCGGGCTTCAGACTTGGGAGGCGCAACGCTCTCGGGACGGACGGAGCTGGCTTTGCTGCTCGCCTTCGATACAACTGAGCCGTTCTCGAGTAAAGCCAGGGCCGGCCTACTGAGTTCGGTCCTGGCCTCAGATCTGGCTTCAGACTTGGCCACAGACTTGGCTACGGACCGGACCTCTGAGCGGGCTGATGAGATGCTTGGGCGATATACTGCCTCAATGCTGTTGCCATCGAAGTCGATGACGGCGGCGCTGAAGTAGCCAGAGTCGGAGTCGCGTTGCTTAGGCTCGCCATGGATCTTGCCTCCTGCCTTGAGGGCATTGATAAAGAAGGTGCTCACGGCATCCTTGGAAGCTGCAGGAAAGGCGACATGAGCGGCACCTGCAGGTACTCTGCAAGGTCATAGTTAGTTCTTGTAACACGAATCAAAGCAGCACTGATGGACACTTACCCTGGTTTTTGTTCCGTGATCCAAAAATCTGCAGGCTCGCCGGTCTTTTGACCGAAACCAATGTAGTCATCGTGACGCCCAATAAACTGGTACCCCAGAGGCTGCAGGCAGGAAAGAAAGAAGGATGTGGAGGTAGGCAGGTGAGCAACCGTCAGGGTGAGGTGAGAGACCGGCATGTCTGTGTGGACTCGCTGGGTAAATCCCTTTGCGAGTCGTGATATAAGGAGGTGAAGTCAGGGGAAGGAAAAAAAGAGAGATATGGAGGGGGTGTAGCGAGGCAGGATAAATAGTAGATCTCAGATGGAGAGAGATCCACCAACAGGAGAGATCAAAAAGTCGATTGCAGACTCAGAAGCGAGTAAGAGAACAGGAGGATATATATACACAAAGGATGGAGAAATAGATAGGAGAGACCCATGAAATCATGAGAGAGGAATGGAAAGAAGCCGGTAAGAAGCAGCACTAGTATTTCAAGGCAAGACGCACACCAACCTTAGGACTTCAGGAGTATGCCCCCGAAATGCCCAACTTGGGATCCAATCACGAGCGGTCAGAAGCTTACAGAGGGGAGCAAATTATTATGGAAAGTCGACCAGCTGTTCCAACCGTGGAGAACGACTAGACTAGGCCGGTTATCGCAGGCAGGCTTGCATAGACTCGCACGGCATCCGAACGATGCCCAGTATAATCCACGAGGCATCAACATTGTCTAGGCTCAGTCTGCAGGCAGTTGCCAAAGGGGATAGGCTCGGAGGGTGCTATCGCAAGGCCGCCACCCACTCTGACACATACTCAGACGACCCATGATGTTATTTTTTTCGGTGAAGCTAATATCGAGGGGTACGAAAACTCAAGATGGCCGCCAGGTCATCGTGGGGAAAGACTGGTGGACGGTGCTGTAGGTGGCCCTGTCGCGGCGGACGGGGCGCCTATCAGAAAACGGTGGGGACTACGCAGGAGCCAAGGGCAGACAGCAGCATCTTGTCGAAAAGGGAACTCGAGTGAGGCGAGAGGGTCCAGGACAAGGTGGATGAAGGGGATTGGCAGTGGTGGAGACGGCAGCTACCAAACGAAAAACAGACGCTGAAACCGCGACAGGTGCGTAGACCGGCGCCAAAGAAGGGATTGGGGGGAAATGCCCTTGTCTTTCTTGAAGACCTAACCTAAATCATTGATTGTAACGACGGGCTCACTCGGTTAGGGCCCAGGATTGGACATCAGACAAACGCCTTGGGAAGGTCGCCAATCACGAGGGAACAACGAATCGCATACGGGCATGTCAGCAAGCAGCCGTGTTGAGGAAAGTAGTAGGGAGAGGAGAGGAGGGGGAGCCACTGAGGGGCAAATCTGCTTGACCGATGGGGGGGTTTTGTTCCTGCTTCGGGCACATTTGCTGCTGTTAGTCGCCGGCCGGTGCGATCTGACCGCCAGATGTTCCTCCAGTCCGGCGATGCTGCGGCGTGGATCATTCCCTCTCGGCACGAAAAAAAGAAAAGGTATATTCCGTATAGGAGCATCTAGAATCCAGATCATTTCCGGAAAATGACGAAGAAATGGAAGTGAACCTCACCATCATTCTGTCATCATCGAGTTAGTTGGTGGTATACGGTGATATCCGTTTGTCTTCGGAAGTGGATGGGATGGCTCATCAGCCAACAGCATCATCGGGGTTTGTAGCGTCGTCAAATGACTAGATGGATGACTGAGATGCTCCATTGGTTTCATGTACAGAGTTATCCATTTGAACCCAGTCGGCGATCCACTTGCTGCGATGGCTGCATGCCACGTCGAACAGGAGACTCCGTCCCCAGCCACCGGGACCACCCGATTGACCTGCCCATCAATACTGCTGCTACTTTGGGAGCTAACAAAGTCTCCCCTGACAAATTCCGAGAGTCCAGAGGTGTGAGTCAGCGATATTCAGAATTTCCGTCTCTCTCCCGAGATGAAAGGGGGAAGGAAGACGATGAAAGGAAAGGATGGGAAGTATAGAGAGAGAAGGGAAAGTTAGTCCAAAAGTCATGGAGAGATACTGGCGGGGCCAGCCTCAGGCACAAACCCACTCTTTCCCCCCTCATCATGTGCAGCAGCCCCCCCCTCCCCCTTCTGTTCGCTGGCTTTCCCACTTGTTCTGCTTCTTTCTTGCTTCTACGGTCACTCTCGTACCTCCAGATGATTCCGATCATCCTCAAGGTCCGACCGGCTCGAGTCTTCCGGCCAATTGGCTAATTGGCGCCATCACACAAATGAACGTCACCGGCGCAAGGGCCGCCAGTTTCCATCTGGATTCCGGGTCTCCAAGGAGCCCCTCCCTGTGGCTACAAACATCTACTGCTGGGCCTACTACTGACAACTATCCTACTAGATACTAGTGATCCGGTCAGAGGACCAGTTGGGACCATCAAAGTCTGTAAGGGAAGACAAAGGGGGGAGAGGAAGTAGGATCGAGTATCTGGGCAGGGGCTGAACGGCGGGTGTCAGACCTCCGTGTCCATGGTTGTGCCTCGATGGTAAATGTATCTGGTGTATTCGTGCTGCTATATAGATAATGTCTCGCTTGCGAGACTGCAACAGTGTACAACACCCCGATGGGGCATTGCAGATTACAGTGATTAGATCACACCCACCTAAGATATTTTGGAAAAAAAGAAGACCCAGATCCTCGTCGAGGCATTCGAACCTGCAGAACTCAAAACAGAGGGATCTATCAGAAGAAACTGGGGACCGGTGGGCCGTGCCGTGACACCCACCCACCGGCGCAGGCCCGCCGAAGCAAAGAGGGCCTGCCAGTTCATCACGGGACCCAAATAAATGAGGCGATCTTAGTTTCCAGAAAATCGCATCCAGCAGTCAAGCAGCGACCGCGACGCGAGGCGCGAGAAAACAGACACGAAAACCCATCAAGACGTGCAGAGAACAGCAAGCGATGCAAATACACCCAGGCAGAGAGAATACGCGAACAGCGCGCGGAAGACAGGTTTCGTCCCCGAGCTAGGACCCGCTGACCGTTCTCGATCGTACCGTTTCAGATGTATGGGCGCAAGGAAATTCGTCACCTCGTCAAGCTTTGGCCATTCCTGAGAAGCGGGATAGGAGCGTCCGAAGTTCTGCGCTCAGACAATGTCCCACACCTCCTCGGCGGCATGGCAGAACTTGCTGCATGCGACACTGGCACTCAAGCTGTAGTTACTGATGGAAATCGTGTCATCCTTGAAGGAGTCGGCAAAGTCATCGTGTCCCTTGGCCATGGCACCTACGAAGATACAGACGCTCTCCTTGGGGCCTAGCGATTCGATGTAGTCGCGGGTGCGCACCACGGGGGCTTCGAAACTGAGGGTCACCTTGCGGCAGTTGGGGGGAAGGTGGTCGGTGATGGGGTTCTTGATGACCTTCAGGAGCTTCTCCTGGGAGTTGGTGGAACGGATGGAGAGGCGGTGCAACAGCTGTACCATCAAACCAGCGAATCGCTTGAAGGTACGAGGAATGCGCACGCTAGGGTTCACCTCGATCAAGACACCCTTGGCAGTGTGGATGAAGATCTGCAGCTTACCCGCCTTGTTCACGGGGGAGTCGAGCAGGGTGAGCAGGCACTAACAAGCATATATCATTAGCAACCATCCACCAAGCCGTTGTTGGCTATCCCAGACAGAGCAACCAACCTGATGTGTGATATCCGGGCGAGCCTCGCTGATATCCCGGTTCATCTTGCGCATGACACCAATGTGTTCATCGCTGTTGAGCAGGGAGTACTTCTCATCACGACCGGAACCATTGCGTCCGCTGGAAGCCCGATAGGTTTCCAAGCTGGCATGGGAGAGAACGACAATCAGACGCTGGGTCTCTTTGTCATGAGCAGGGATGGGAGTGTGCTGTTCCGCAACGAGCTGGGGCAATTCGGGGGGAGGGCAGGATTGCGTCCCTGCAGGTTCAACCGAGTCAGCAACCATTTCTAATGGCGATAACAGAAAAAAGACAGATCCACGCGGTTGGTTGAGGATGATGAGGCTAAGATGGAGCTGGACACTGGGTGATGCGACAGACAGGGCGTGTCACAGAGACAAGAATAGAAAAAGACGGTGATTGTGATTTTAACAAACAACGTAGAAAGAATAGCGATGCAGGGAATTAACCCATCAACGGATGATGATGGGATCGCGAGAGACAAAGAAAGACAGCCGTGAAGAAGAAAAAGTAAGAAAGAAGAGAGAAAAAAAAGGAATGTTGATCTCCCGCGTTGGCGATAAGAAAAATCAGGCGGGGAATAGCACGAGGTGTCACCGGCTGTACATGAGACAGCAAGGCTGAGAGATTTGGGGGGAAGGGAAAGCAGGGAAACGCAGGAAAAGCAGAGAAAGGATTGAAGAGCGAACCGCGGGTTTAAATTGCAATTGGGGGAACGTACTGGCACGCTTTCTCTTCCCGGCAACCTGGATAGGATCCGACATGATGCGAATTGATTGATGGGTGATGGTGCAAGATTATAAGTGAATCCCGAAGCAGAGCTTTTCTCTATCCTCGGATTATACCTGCAACTATTTTCCAACTCTTGGAATGTTGCTGGTGGTGATTAATGGGGAATTGAGACCGCAACGGAGGTTAGGGAAGGGAAGAAAAAAAAAGTAAAGCAAGGAAAAGTACGAGGAGGAAAAAAAGAGATGGGAAACGAAGGCGGCGATGAAGAGGAGACTAGGCTCAACGGGAGTTTATAATAAAAAAGGATGGTGTGAGCAGCAAAGCAATAATAGCTTTTCTATTCCCTTTTCCTTTTCCTTTTTTTTATTTTTTTTCCTTTCTGGCCCCTTCCTTCTTATTCTTTGACAGTGTCTCTGACGTTATCGCAATGCAGATTCCCCTCACTTGAAGGAAAGAATTGAGGGTGTGAAGGATGCGGGACAGGATGATGCTTTTCTTTTGGGCGAAAAATCAAATCCAAAAAGTCCCCGAGGAGCGACAAGAGACGGACTTTGAAAGGAACAGCAGCAGCGCCGGGGTAAATTGAATCACTCGATTGGCGGCTGTTTGGGGGCTGGCCGCCCGGCGGAGTTTCGGGATGGAAAAACAATGCAGAAAACTCCTCTTGGTTCCAAACTCTCTTTCATGTGTCATTTCCCGGTTCCAAGCAATTCGGTTCATCCAACCTCTCAGAGAGCTATCTACGATAGATAAGATATGCCTATAAACAACTCCGTCTAGGTTGAAGTTTAACTGGGATAGTAGTGGGTGGTGAGGATAGTAAACAAGTTGCAGATTGTTGCCCGCCGGGGTCTGGGTGTCTCCCCCGGAGTCATCCATGCATTGATGGATACCTTCTCATGGGCTAAAGTCTCAACTAGAACATGGCTTGGTCCAATGACCTAAGATTATCGTGTAATCTCCGATCAGCAATGCATTGGACCGGTGCATTCCTCTTCTTGCCATCATTGGCCTGCTTTGCTTTTCTTCACGCCAATATTCACATCCGCCAGCTTGGTTAGCTTCCCCGATTCGGGGTTTGAATAATGTGATTAGATGAAGAGACAGAGAGTAACCTGCTAACCACCACGGCCTCTCTCGTATCCGAGTCACTAGCCGGATCACTGGTTCTAATCTCAAAACCCGTTAACGAGTTGGTTACTCCTTCAGGCAGAGGAAGTAACTAACTACTGGTACTAGTTAATTGTCTTACTCCGTGTCTTACTCAGATGTAAGACTAAGGCTAGTTAACTAGCAACTTCCTCCCTTCTTCATCACCTCCTCAGCTCCCCATCAAGCATCTGTCGGATTGAACCCCCCACCATGGCAGTATCTCCGGATTCCTGGCCCATACCCATTTCTGCAGGAGATGCCCTCGTACACAGTACCCTGAAGTGTAACCCTTTCGGTTGCACAAAGGCGTGATTGTTGAGCCACTGAGCCTCTAGAATAGACATCATGTTCTACCGATGACAGCTTGTCGCGCCGGCATCTGGCCAGTTTGTACCTTCGTTTGATGGAGAGTTAGTGGTGCCCCGCCTCGGATCTGTCCATCTGCAACCGATTTGGCTGCATCTACTTGGTTGGGGTGCGCAGCAGCTGCAGTTGTGCTATCTATCTAGTCATTGGGAGGGATGGAGGAATGTAACTCTTCGTACAGGTACAGACGAAAGGAAGCAATCAGAGGCTTCAGATCTACCTTTCACTGGCCGACCCCCTCACAGGACGGGAGGCGAAAGGTGACAAGTCTTGCCTTGAATGAGGCACAATGATGAAAGTAAAAAAAAAAGCAAATAAGCTACTTAGATGGATGATCCGCGTTCTCATGATCGGTCCTCACGATCGGCATCTTCGATCCGGCTGTCAGTGACTTGCTTGCTTTGGGATTGTTGACTATCTGCCTGGTCTAGGCTGCGATGACATAAAGACACATCATGTAAGGACAAAAGACAACCAACACCCCCCATGTGGTGTGACAGCTGGTCTGGAGCTGCCCAAGAATGGATCACATAGCCATCTACAGATAAGAACGAGACAAAAGGCAAGAAACGGAGGAGGGGAAAGAGAGAGGTCACCGATGCAAGTAGATCAAGATCAGCCGGGAGCCCTGTGTAGCCATCACATCCAATCCCGGAACAAAGCTGAGGACCCGAGCTGCAAGTCAAATGCCGGCAAGGCAGTGCCAGAACATGGCAGTGACCCAGTAAGGCATCGGTGTTGGTTCGTTTGTCCAGCAAGGGCGAGGTTGGGGGAGAGATAAAGACTGAGGAAAAAGGAAAACGACAGGAAATCGTAGAAAGGTAAAAGAGAATGGCTCTCTAGTCGATCTGGTGAAATTTGCCTCACACCACTAATGTTAACGATGGATGCATTGTGTGGAGTAGTATACTATTATGTGGAGTGGGAGAAGAAACGAACGGGGGGAATGCACGAATGGGAAATGGGATGAATCATTTGTTTTTTATTCTATTTAATCTTGTACATCATCACCAGGAGAGGGAAAACTAAGTGACGAGGCTGGCCACCTCAGCTGCCACCGACTTGTTCATACATCCGGAGTCCACAACTCAGGAGTCGGGCCAACCTGAATGGTGTTGCACCAGAGAGTCTGGTTGGTTGGGGGCTCATGATATAAGGAGGCGAAGTTCGGGACGGCAACGATGATGGCACAGCATCGACTGGGAACTTTACTCATAAATTTACTTTGTAAGCCGGGGGGGCTCTCTTGTCTCTCATTGCTCTTTCGTCCAGTGACAGTTTGGGCGTTTGTGATTTGAACCTTCATCTGCTTCAAATCTCTTTGGCTGCCCGTGAGTAGTGTTCCACACGTAACACCTTGTTTGAAGTACTTCACTGTTCGGAGGTGGTTGGTGGTTTTGAATGAACATTCATTCATGACTCTTTTGCATCCTGCGGACACGACGCCACCGTGGGTTATTTTCATCATTGTTAGTGATATAGCTGGGATGTGGGGGGGAAGAGCAGCAGAGCTGTCATCATCATAATCATCATCATTATTATCAGCTTGGAGCTTGCTGATACACGGGGAATATTAAATATAAAAAGGGGAATAGTTATCTGCTGCTACATCTGCTGATTCACATCATCACCATCATCACCATCATCGTCATTCATCAGCGGGTGTGAGTGTATAAAAGGGTAAGGAAGGGAAAACGAAACGAAACTCTCTGTAACGGAAAGGCAGCAATATGACTGAATGTGGTTTAGACCAGTGATTCTCACGCGTTTCCCGTCGATCGGCGACCGCCAAATCCGCCCTTCCCAATCCATAATAATTTCCTGGCATTCCGTCAGGCAGCTCATTCCACTGCATCATCGATCAGCTCTCCCTGCTTCTGTCTATTTCTTCGTCCTCCTCTTTCTCCTTCCTACCTCCTCTCCCTTCCAGACTACACCTCTGCCATAAATGTTTTACCTCGCTTGAATGCCTCTGGTACATCAGAAAGGGAGATGCCGTGGACTGTGACAAACTCATTCAAGCGGTACGTTGTGAAATCATGCCCCTGCTCCTTAATTCCCTTATCCCTTGGTTGCCGCCACTCCAACTAACGCGCTCCCCTCTTGGGTTCCCCCCCACGCAGAGGTCTCATGATGAAAACTTACGGACGGCCACTCTGGCGCGTTTATGACGATGACCAACGGCCTGCCGCCAAAAAACGACGCGTTCAATCCGGCAATGATTCCGACGAAGCCGAAAATAGCATTCAATATGCCATCCGCGAGTCTTCCGCCGCCATCATGTCCAGTCCGTCGCGTCGCAATTCCATTCTTCTCTCCGAAGGCACTCAGGAAGATGATCTGTCGACACCCCCATCTTCTCCCCCACCGCGATTAAGCCCCCCTCCCGCCAACACGCGGAAACCCACGTTTGCCTTCCTGAAGCGTAAACAGTCCGCCACCAAGGATGCCAGCAATGGCACCCCCGTTACGAACGGCACCACCACCACCACCAACGGCACGACCAATGGCACCCCACTCACCGAGGTCAACTCCAACAGCGTGCGCGCCTCGGTGGATCCACCCAAGAAGAAAGCGCCGCAGCCGCAGCAGCCGCCGGTCTTGAAGCAGATGCAGATCGACCTGGGCCACGAAGTACGGAGGACGTGTGCAACTTGTGGCATGGAATATGTGCCATCGAACACGGAAGATGCGGCGTTGCATAAGAAATTCCATGACATGAACTCTACCGGGGTGGATCTGGGGAAGGCCTTCATGCGGGCCAACGCATCACGCTGGGTCTACGAAGCTACACGGTTTGACGAGGGATATGTGGTCATTGTGGATCGCAAGGCATCGCCGACCGCAAAGAACCAAGCGAAGAAGGTGCTGGAAGTTATTTGCAAGGAGCTGTCATCCCCGACGATCGAGGACGAGGTCCTGTGGAGTCAGACGGAAGCGCCCAAGCATCTGCAACAGAACGGAGTACCGGAGAAGGTGGACCGGTACAAGGTGTTTTTGCACATGAAGGACAGCCGATGTGTAGGGGCATGTTTGACGGAGCGGATTTGGGAGTCACGGCCGGTCAAGAAATCGGCCGCTTCGGGCAATGGACCGGACTCGTCGGTCACGGTGGGGGAGGAAAGACATCCGGCCATTGTGGGCATCTCGCGCATATGGACATCGGGCTCTTCACGCCGGAAAGGTATTGCCATGGATCTGTTAGACTGCGTGGTGAGCAACTTCATCTACGGGATGGAAATCCCCAAGGAGCAGGTGGCGTTCAGCCAACCGACTGAAAGTGGCAAAGGGTTGGCGCAGTCATTTTTCGGCAACGAAGAGTGGCATGTTTACGAGGAAAGCTAAGACGACAACAATAGACTACGGAAAGAAACAAGAGATTGCATTTGATTTCTTTTTGTTTGCATGGTTGGGGACTGAAAGGGGGGAGAGAGGGGAGGAAGACCGACGGGCGGACATTGTTTTCGTGATACACGGGCGAGTTGATACCCAGGCTTTCTCGGGCATTGACCTTCGAGGGAGGGCTTACTCTTGTGACGACCATTTGTGATTGCACGCGTTCATTTGAGATTTTTTCCTTTTTATTTTTTATTTTTTCTTTATTTTTATTTTTTTTTTTTTTTTTCACATTTTTATTCTTAACTGACTGTATAACTGGAAGAGGTGTTTATTGGGAGGGTCCGTCGGGTTCCGCGTGGCTTGGTATATTCTTCGACTACCGATCTACCATTCTTCACTGTACCATATATATATCCTTATTTCTTTTTCTTTCTTCTTTCTTTTTATTCATTCTTACCCCGCGATATTATTATCTTTTTCTTATTCGTTTTCCCTTTGTTTACAATATATGTATGTGTGGGAGAAAGAGTGAAAGTGAACATGAGGAGTGGAAGAGAGGGCAAATACGACCCAGGCAGAATGCAGCATGTGAGAGTGATTCCAGACTACGATTTACCGGCATATACCATGCATATCCAGTAGTTCATAGTAGTTTGTGAACCTCATAGTGAAAGCCGCGGAACCTTGAAGTAGTAAAAGCCAAAGGGAACTAAAACTAGTACTAAGCAGTAGTAGTAAATACTAAGAAGTAAGGTTGTTGGCCGAGAGCCTCTCTCTCTCTTTCTCCAGTTGTTGACTTGCGCTCTGTCATTCCCCTTCCCTCTGTGTCTCTCTCACTCTCTCCCTCTCCGTCTCCCTCTTCCCTCCCTCCCTCCCTCTCCTTCTCTTCCATCCAATCCTTCCCTCCTTTTCCTTGCTCTCATGGTCAGTGCTGCCCTTCTCCTCCGCGATGTCTGGATTAAATCCTTTCCGCCCTAAGAAGCCCGAGAGTGAGTCCGTCCGGCGGTTCCGGTTCCTGCGCACCGTTCGTCGCGTGCGGTCGGACGAGATGGACGGAGCTGTCCCTGACCCATGATGCTGACCTCCCCATCCCCAGATACCTTCGCTGCTCCTGCTCCTGCGCCAGCGCCTCCTCTGCCTCCGTTCCAATCTCAACCTCAGCCCTCCTTTACCTCGCATCCCTCGAAGCCCGTTCCCTCCGTGACCTTCCCTTCCACCTCCTTCCGCTCAGTCCCTCGAACCCCTCCCGCATCCTTGACCCCGGATCCCGACGATACGGCCTCCTCCGATGACCAGTCTGCTTCGGATCCCTTCCACCAGCACTCGTATGCGACCGATGACGATGGAGAGGTGGAGGACCAAGAGGACATTGATGACTTAGACTTCAAACGCACCTACCAGGTCGCTCACCCACCTTCCCGGGACGATGATCGCTCCCAGCCATCGATCAGGACCGTTC